TATCTATCTATCTATCTATCTATCTATCTATCTATCTATCTATCTATCTATCTATCTATCTATCTATCTATCTATCTATCTATCTATCTATCTCTCTCTATATATATATATATATATATAAAAAATACACTATTACTACTTGTACTACTATTCCTACTTTGCAGTTTTTCACTTATCGTGGGTCTTCAGGGTACGGGTCCTCTTTGATAAACGAGGGTGTGTTTTCTTGTGCTTGGAAAGTTCATTTTTCTTTATTTTCAGAGACAAAAGCCTAAAATAGGAACTATTATTTAAAAAAGAGGGTGGAACTTCAAACGCCTGTTTGGACCATGGACGGCCCAAAAGGGTTATCGAAGTTTTGAAAAAAACATCCAGCTGGCAGTCGCTAAAACAGATTAATGGAAGGTTTTAAGGGACACGCATAAAGTTGATCAACTTGTATATCAATGATACCACTTTATATATATTTTTACATGTCCAATTTCTCCCCATCGTTTATTTAATCAACTGAAATTATTTTCTTTCAAAACACTTGTTATATTTAGCCAAGTTTTATGAATTATTATCCAAAATTGTACTTTTTTGGTAGGTCAGTGCAGTTTTGTTGTAGGATAAAGGCATTACTTAAAGCAAAATATTTGTACTGTACTTAATATCGGTCATTTTGAGAATATTATTTTAATTTGTTTTGCAGTAAAACCTAAACATTTAAAACATATCGCCATTTAATTTAAAGAGGGTCTACATCTGCATCAACCTCTTAAGCCTGTGGGTCGAAATTATACCATTCTTTAATTGCAGTCGTGGCCCACACAAAATTACTCCAAGGGCCACAAATGGCCCCCGGGCCACACTTTGGACACCCCTGTGTTAAAGAGATCAAATAAGCAGGGTTCACAACAAAACTCTGACAATATGTTGAGCTGGAAAGTAATTTAAAACTTAGACAGGAATACTGACTAGAAAACAAACAAATAAATAAATAAAAATAAAACGAGGCTAATGGCAGAAATGTCAAGACTTAATTGAAGAAAATATTGGTTCACCCTAAAAGGTTAGACTTGTTTAATTCATCCTAATAATTCATTCATTTTCATTTGTTTTAATGAAAATGTCCAATTATGCAATACATAATTTGCGTTCATTTAGTGTAATTTGCTTAAAATGCACAGTTCCTTTTCCTCATTTGCAGCTCTTGAAGGCGCGATCGAGGCCTTCTCCAGCGGAGGTACCATTGAGCTGCCTCTTACTCGCCCCCAGCTCACTTTGCTGCAGGATTACAGCCAAGCTCTGGAGCGTTATGATGACTACGAAGATGACGAGGGTGAGCTGAGGGCTGAGAGCAGCCTGGCAGAGAAATTCGGTACGTTTCCCTCCTGCTGTTAGTATTGCCTCATTATCATTAAGAGGAAACCTGTATCCGATTACCTGGCTCTTGTTAAAGTTTCAGACAGACTCATTTAGCAGCGGCAGCAGCAGACCACACTGTGGGGGTTAATTACTTTGCTTCGTGTTCTCAGACTGTTGATATAAACCAGTAAATCACCACTGTTTCAATGGCAGGAATGTTAAGGTTTATGTCTTGCAGCTGGTTGAAGCAGGGAGGCTCTGCTATTTCTTATATAAACTTATTTAACTTATTTACATCTGATTTCAGCACATTTAAATGCACAATATGGCAATGGGGGTGGATATCAGTCCTACTAAATATGAAGACTGTTTAAAGTTTTGTGCAGCTCTGAAACTGTGTTGGAAAAAAAAAACTGCTTAAATTACAAATCTCGAGTGTGATGAGTCAATTTCACTTTATTGAGTCACGTTGATCATTCTGTTGTTTTCAGTGTGTTTGAATGACACGTTTGGCAGCGACTGCAGTCTGACCTGTGATGACTGCACTAATGGAGGAATGTGCAACGTCTGGAGCAGCGGCTGTGATTGCTCTGAAGGATGGACGGGAATCATCTGCAACCAGAGTGAATTCTGTTCACATGCAAAGCTTGTTTGTTAATATGAATCCAGACTGTGTGAGTTATCTTAAATTTGACTCTTTTTGGGGTTTTTTTCTCTTACAGCATGTTCTGAAGGATATTTTGGTAAAAACTGCTCCTTCTCCTGTAAGTGTAAAAATGGTGCCAGCTGTGATCCAGTTAGTGGAAGCTGCCGCTGCCCTCCTGGTGTGCGTGGAGATTTGTGCCAGGACGGTGAGATGCTTCACTTATTCCAGACAAGACTGTGTGTTGTCCTGTACTTTCTGGTACAGAGAACTTAAATACAGTCTGAAACGTGCACTTTGTGTCCAGGCTGTCCTAAAGGCTTCTATGGAAAACAATGCAACAAAAAGTGTAATTGTGCCCAAAATGGCCGCTGCCACAGGACCTATGGAGCCTGTCTGTGTGATCCTGGACTTTACGGACGCTTCTGTCACCTTCGTGAGTCCAATGGCTTATCACTTTTTTATTATTTTTATTTTAAAATTCTTAATTCAGGAACCACAGTTGTAGAAGTCAAGCTAAAAAACAATTTTAGGTCTTTCTGTGCCCCGTGGCTTAAAATTGTTGACAACTCCTTCTCCCATTTTCTTTTCTTTTTCTATTTTTTAGCCTGTCCGAAGTGGACTTTTGGAGCTGGATGCTCTCAGGAATGTCAGTGTGACCATAAAAACACAAAGGAATGTCACCGTCGCCATGGGACCTGCCTCTGTAAACCTGGTTACCAAGGAAACACCTGCAAGGAAGGTAAGATGTCAACCAAACAATAATATTACTTTTATTTTCAACATAACTGGACAAGAGATTATGAAAAAAAAAATGTAATTTATAAATATATATATATATATATATATATATATATATATATAATTAAAAACATAAAATGACATATCAGTCCATGTTTCCACAAAATGAGGAGGAAAAATATATTAAATTATGTCCAAACAAGACAGAAATGTTGTACTGTTATGAAGAAACTACATTTGATGCTTCCTGTAATCAGACAAGCAAAAGTGTTTCTTTCTCTTCTTCATTTGACATAATTATATTCCTTTATAAACGGATCAATTGTCTATTCTGTCTCCAGAGTGCGAACCAGGAACTTATGGGTTCAGTTGTGACAAGAAGTGCTCCTGTCCACTGGGAGCGTCGTGTGATCATGTGACTGGAGAGTGCCAACAGAAATGTCCTCCTGGTTATCATGGACTGAAATGTGAACGAGGTATATATGACTGTAAGAGGCGGAGATATTGGCTTTATTTTATTTACTTTTAATATTAAAAACAAATCCACCTTGTTTGTGTCAGAGTGTCCAGAGGGCAGGTTTGGAACAGGCTGCGTCCATCCTTGTAACTGCACTGGAGCCTCGTGCGATAAAGTGACAGGACAGTGTCGGTGTCCAGCTGGGAAATTTGGACAGCAATGTGAAAACTGTGAGTGAGGAGACATTAATTTGATTGGAATCTCAGTCAATATCTTATGTGATTTTGGAGTATTTGTTGATAATGACTCTCAGCTGCCATCACGCTAAATTTTAGCTCAATATCTGTAACTTTCACTGAATTATATATATATTTTTGTGTAAGCTAAGACAGTTGGTGGTGCCAGCCATTTTAAAGCAGGTTGACTCCAAAAGTTAATCAGCTGTAGATTTGCATCCCGTGAATATTTTCTGACAGTTTCATTGAAATGTGTCTAATTTCTGAGACATTTTGCCAACAAAAACTGAGTTGACTCCAAACATTAATTACAAGGTTAATAGCAAAGATGTGCTCAAAGTATGTTAAAAAACAATGTTCAGTTACTATCACCCCACATTTTGTCTCATTATATGTAACACTGGCTGCATCTTAGTCTAAGGTTGCTGATTATTATTTAAATGTGTCCATTGGTTTTTGAGATATTTTCATTCAACCTTTATTTATACAGGTTAATCTCATTGAGGACTCATTTACAAGAGAGACCTGTTTTAAACAACGCATGATGACAACAATAGACAATCATAAAAGAAAGCACATAAACTGAAACAAATAAATGGAAGAAAATTATATATATATATATATATATATATATATATATATATAAATGAAACAAAACAGCTGCATTGTAAAGCAATGTAAAATAATAATTATATTAACAATAATTTTGCTTAGAATATTATTTGGGAATCAGTCTCAGCTTCTAACGCACTAACGCTCAGATCAATATCTGTAAAACTGTCTGGGTTTTAGCCATTTTTGGGTTTGCTAAAACTACTTTGTTGAGGCGGCCGTACTGAATCGGATTTACTCCAAAAGTTGCACTTATAGGTGTCAATTAAAAAAATGATTTCTGAAATTTTCAACAAAATTTGTTCAGTGATTCATGCATGAGATATTCTGCTAATGGTACATACAATCAAAAACACACACGCGCAGCAGACAATAAATGCTCAAGATAAGCAGTTTTACAGGATAACAATTAGGATTCATTTCTGACAGTGTGTCTGGAGGGTTTCTGGGGTCCCAGCTGCAAACACACCTGTCCGGTTTGCGAGAATGGTGGCGAGTGTGATAAGCACAACGGGTCATGTCGCTGCCCACCAGGATTCATGGGAAGACTCTGTCAAAACTGTGAGTAGCAGCAGCATGCATTCTTTTTGGGGAAAGGTTTCCATAGCAACATACATTAAACAAGCCACCAGAGGAGGACGACAGCACTGTGGAAGATTGAGGAGGTGCAGGATGGATGTGAAATGATGCAGCATGCGAGGAGACGAAGGCAATTTTCTCCAGAGTCATTAGAGAAAATCTTCCAGCCACCTCAGATGAGTTTTTCCATGGAAGACTAGCTCTTATTCCTTTTTAACGAACCGCTGGCTCTTTTTGGCAGTCCACAATCTTTCATGGGAACTTGTTTCGTATGTAATCTGGCAGAGTTAGTTACAGTAGATTAATTCTGATGATGGGAATATTTTCTCCCCCTGCGCAGCATGCCCGAGCGGACGTTTTGGTCAAAGATGCCAAATGAAATGTGTCTGTGAGAACAATGCTCGCTGTGACCCAGTGAGTGGGAGGTGTAACTGCACTTCTGGCTGGACTGGACACAACTGCAGGAAAGGTATCAGGACTAATTAGTGCAGATTTGAGCTTTCAAAGATCCTCTTGATGTTTTCTGACCCACTCTGTGCTGCAGCCTGCGATGCAGGACTCTGGGGAGCTGACTGTGCAGAAACCTGCGACTGCAGAAATGGAGATGGCAGCTGCAATGCTGTGACGGGCCAGTGCAACTGTGAGGCTGGTTTTACTGGAACACACTGCCATGAGAGTATGTTTTATCTGACAGTGCTACACCCATTAACAGAGTTCATTCTATTTTTATGTCTATTTGGTAATTAATAATGCAAGAGCGATTAGCGATTCCTTACAGAGTTTGTAATAAAGACTAAAACAACATTTAGAATTAAAGTGCGCACAATCTTAACAGTTTAGCGATCAGTGTCAGTATAACTGAGCCAAGTCATCAAGTCATGTTATGTTTATTTGTCATATGTAAGCTAACACAAGGTTACCAGTACAATGAAATGCTCAGGATGAGAAGAACCGATTTGACTCGCTAAAAACAAAGAACATACAAACAAGAAATACTAAAGCATTCAATAAGGGTATAAAATAAAGTACCAAAAAAATGAAAAAGTAAATAAAATTACAGAGTTCAAAAGAAAAATACAACATGCTAGAATATAACAGTGCGAGTAGGATGAATTTGTATGAATAAGCTAAAATGCACACGATACAAATTGCACATAACTAACATGTACTACACAGGTTGTGTGACAGGTTATTGCACAGGTAGTGAGTAACAATGAGATTAATTGAATTATGATGGTAAGCAGCCACATAGTGCAGCAGCAATAAACATATTAGTTGTCACAGATGTGGCTTGGTGCAAAGTTATTGTCAATAGTTCAGCATTATTATCAAGAGTTCAGTAATCTGACAGCTTGTGGATAATAACTGTCTTTGAGTCTTTTCATGCACGATGGGAGGCTCTTGTATCGTCTGCCTGAGGGTAGTAGATAAAATAATCCTTGTGCTGGGTGGGTGTGGTCCTTAATGATGCTGTGTGCTTTACGTAGACATCAGCTGTGGTAGATGTCCTGGAGGGTGTGGAGACTGCTACGAGTGATGTCCTCTGCTGTTTGCACCACCCTCTGTAGAGCTTTCCGGCTCTGACTGGTGCAGTTCCAGTACCACCCTGTGATGTAGCCTGTCAGCAGGCTCTCAATGGTGCACCTATAAAATTAGTGAGGATGCTGGTGTTGGTACCAAACTTCTTTAGGCTTCTTACAAAGTCTTTGCCACCTTTGTAGCCACTGCTACAGTGTAGAGTTAGTCATACCTACACATGTGAAACTCCTTCAGTTAGACCTAAAAAGTCACAGTCACATCTGGATATCGTCATTTAAAATCCATCCATCCATCCATTATCTTTACCCATTTCTTCCTTTTCGGGTCACAGGGATCACTGGTGCCCATGTCCAGCCATCACTGTGCGAGAAAATCAGATCTGTTATAAATGGGAAACATTGTAAAAGATTTGTTTCTGTTTAAATTTTGATCTCTCTGTAATTTGACTAATTTTGCAAACTTGGAAAACTTGAAATGTCCAATGACCATGATCTTTATATTAGGCTATAGTGAATTTAGCTGGAATGCTAGCATTAATGTGCAGGTTATGTTCAGTACACCTTATGTTAATAAAAGTTTATGATTATGATTTTGTGTGTTTGATTTTTCCCCCAGAGTGCCCAGCGGGTATGTTTGGTCTTGGTTGTCGCCATCAGTGTCAGTGTGAAAACGAAGCGCTGTGCGACCATGTGAGTGGAGCTTGTACGTGTCAGGTGGGATGGACGGGCACCTTCTGTGAAAAACGTAAGAGAAGCTCTTCAACCATAAACACTCCCTCAACCATCTAACCTGCAGTGAAAGGTGGTGCTGATACATGTTTGTGCTTCAGGGTGTCCTCAGGGTTTCTATGGTCTGGACTGTCAGGAGAAGTGCTTGTGTCTGAACGGCGGCAGCTGCGATCACATCAGCGGTGCTTGTTCCTGTCCAGCAGGCTGGATCGGCCCACTCTGCAACCTGAGTGAGTGACTGTGCAGATGATTTGAAAACAGGAGCCAACCAAACACTGGAAGTTCCACTTTTGATCTGCAGAGTTCATCGGGAGGTAATGATATTGTTTACTTCTCTCCTGGCAGCATGCCCAGCTAGTTTCTATGGGAAGGGATGTAACCAAACCTGTAGCTGTAGAAACGGCGGCATCTGCCACCCGGCCAGCGGGCAGTGTGCATGCACGCCGGGCTGGACCGGACCCACCTGCACAGAGCGTGAGTTCACCAGCAGAGACAATGGGATCAGCTATGATTCAGGTAAAGAAAAGGTCACAAAGTGGAGTCATCTTTGTTTCTTTCCCAGAATGCCCTGCTGGATTTTATGGAGCGGGCTGTCAGCAGCGCTGCTTGTGCCAGAACGGAGCCACCTGTAACAAAACTAACGGAAAATGTGCATGTGTCAAAGGATGGATGGGCACGGCCTGTGAACTTGGTAAAACTCAGTGTATTAACACTGCTCTGTATTAAGATGGATTAAGAACTAATGATAATTTATTACAAATTATCCCCTATTTTTGTTCTTGGCTTTCATTCGTAATAACAGTATACTCTGCCAACTAATTGCTAAAATCTGGGGAAAAAAAGCTAACAAAACGAATGAGGTTTATTGTCTTTATGTAAACTATTTTATTTGAAATTGAAAGTAATAAATTAATGCATCCCTTCGTTTTACAATAATCTCTGATTGTGCAGAAAATCCGTCTTTCACGTCCAACTGCAGAAGTCACGTGATGAATGTTGCTGCTCTAATTTCACAGCATTCCTTCAGTGTTTTATTGAAACTTCAGTAAAAACTTAATAACATCCTATTGTTTGTATGTCCCTCTTCAGCTGTATTACTTTATAATCAGGCTGGAAGGACTGAAGTTATTTCTACCAACAATACAAAATTTATAGCTTCATTTTTAAGGTCTAAAAAATTAGCCTGAGCTAACCAGTCAGCAAGGAACATACAGCATTTAATTAAGTGTACCATAATTCAGGGGAAATCAGTGGTTTTGTATTTATCCTCATGTTGAAACTATTCCGTTATAACGGAGCAAGCTCTGAATTTGTGAAGATTCAGGAGAGAACGGGAGACAAAGAACATGGCCTGGACTTAAGCGTGTTTTTAAAAACTCCAGAAACGCCTCACTCATGGGTTTATGGCTGAAGTCTGTTGTTGGCAGCATTTCTACACCGCAGTCTGCTCTACAAAAGTTGAGCCGGTGGTTAGAGTCCAGCCACTTCTCCCTCTGAGCTCTAATTTCCCCACTGATCCTCCCTCTGTGGCTGTTACAACCTTTCTCCATCAAGCAGTGCCAGGTCCCACCTCCTCCTCATGACCAGGAAGCCTCTAGGAATGCATTTATCCTCGAAAGTCTGTAGCCGCTGTGTTTAAAAACCAAAACGGTTCAGTTATGTAGTGGTCACAGGAAAATAACCAGAATCATTACGGTTTGATTGAATGTTTGCTCATCAATAAAGTTATAGAGCGAGTTCCTTTCCATACACTCCATGTGAAAATACTTCTGTGATCATTCTCTTACACTTGTGTGTCTGCATGTTTCCACAGAGTGTGCAGTGGGTCATTTTGGGGTGGACTGCCAGCAGCAGTGTGAATGTGAAAACGGTCAGTGTGACCGACAGACAGGACGCTGCAGCTGCAGTGCCGGCTGGATTGGAGAGCGCTGTGAAAAAGGTGAGTCGGTGAGTCTGAGGTGACGCCGCTGAGGAAAATTCGCCATCCTGTGAACAGCTGCACTGTGGAAACTACGCTGACGTGATGGTGATTCGCTGTATTTTTGTTAATCACAACTTCTAATTGGCACCTTCCTGTGAGCAGCGTGCGAAGCAGGACTGTTTGGTGTCGGCTGTATGGAGCGGTGTCAGTGCGTGCACGGCGTTTCCTGTCATCATGTGACTGGAGAGTGCCAGTGTCTGACAGGGTGGAGGGGGAAACTCTGTGACAAAGGTACAAACCTGCTGCTGAAGAAAACATTAGGATTTGGTCTCTCACACAGAAAGCTGAATGAAACATGAGTCGCTGTTCATGAAAGAAAACAAAAAGTTCAGAGATTTTACAAGAAACTTTTGGTTGTTGTTTAGTCTTGACTTTAAAAGAGATGGAAATTAAGAGTGTTTCAGTCTGGAGAAAATAAAAGTCACAGCAAAGACAGGTGTTATCACTTATCAGGGCTGCAGTAGATCAGTGGTCAGCGCTACGGTGTCATAATCCTGATGCTGCAGGTTCAGGCCCAGGAAGGGCATTCAGTGTAAAACATTTGCCAGATCATCAAAGTTCGTGCTCAACAATCCAGGTAAAAATCCAACAATGTTCAGTCAGGTCATCCATGGATTCTTTTTTGCTGAGAAGTTTCGTCCTTCATCCAAAGGACTTCATCAGTCAGAGGAGCCACAAACAAATTGAGTCCTACAAGCAGTACACACTCATAGTGGAAAAAAAAAATCAGTTTGCTGGTGATAAGTCATCAGTCAAAGAAATGATGAAGTCCTTTGGATGAAGGACAAAACATCTCAGCAAAAAAATAAACCATCCAGATGACCTGACTGAACATTGTTGGATTTGTACCTGGATTATTGAGCATGGACTTTGATATTTTGAACCACTTTGGCACCGCTGGCTTAGAGGAGTTGACGGGGGAGAGGCCCCAGAAACCATCTTATCACCAGCAAACTGTTTTTTTTCCCCACTATGTGAGTGCGCTGCTTGTGGGACTCAGTTTGTTTGTGGCTCCTCGGACTGATGAAGTCATTTGCCAGATCTTTTATGCAAGTTTGTTTGCTGTGACAATCTCTGCTTAAGTGGACAGCTGAAATAACAACATCTATAAGAAAAATAGTGTGGTCTTGAACAACTTTAAAAGTCTGCGTATTGTTTTTTTTTTTAAAGGGTCATACTTTTGTAAACCATCTATTTTAAAAACTTCTCTGTTCTTTAAGGATTATTGGTGCTGCATGTTATCCAGGTAGTAAAAATGCTGAATTGACGTTCCCATCAGGCTGCTGCAAATGAAATTAATGGTCTGAAGGAATGCACATCATCCGTTGGACCTACTTTGGTTGAACCTTGTAAATATTATGTATATCGTGTAATACTGCATGATGTCAATCTCAAAGTATTTGTGAATGACTCTCAGCTACTACTACATAAAATTTTAGGTCAGTGTCTGGAAATTGACTGGGTTATAGTAATTTTTACATTTTTTAAGGTCAGCTGATGTTTACTTTCTGATAGTTTTACTAAAATTATTTCACTAATTCGTGAGACATTTTGCTAACACCACTCACAAACATATTCTCTTTTGGTGGTTGGTGCTATAAAATCAAGTACTTGTTAAAAGTATTAGGTGAAATACCAACAGTTCATGTTCAATAATCCAGGTACAAATCCAACAATGTTCAGTCAGGTCATCTGGGCGGTTTCTTTTTCTTTTTTGCTGAGACCTTTCGCCCTTCATCCAAAGGACTTCTTCAGTCCAAGGAGCCCCAAACAAACTGGAGTCCCACAAGCACCTCACTCCCCTAGTGAAAAAAAACAACAAAACAGTTTGCTGACAAACGAGACAAACAACCATTCACGCTCTCACTCACACCTAGAGACAATTTAGAGTTACCAATCAGCCTAACATGCATGTTTTTGGTCTGTGGAAGGAAACCGGAGTACCCGGAGAAAACCCACGCATGCACGGAGAGAACATGCAAACTCCACCCAGAAAGGCCCCCAGACCGGGATTTGAACCAGGGACCTGCTCGCTGAGAGGCAGCAGCTCTACCAGTTGCACCACTTTGCTGCCACTGTTTATTTTGTTGCATAAAAATATGTTGTAACTGCATCTAACTTCTGTAAATGCAGAAAATGGGATGACCTTGAACTATAAATCCTATCACCTCCAAGATGTTGTGACGGCAGGGATCAGTCCAGCGTGGGGATTATGATGATGTTAGGAATTAGTTCAGGTAATGGTAGGCAGGTCAAAAAATAACACGACTAATGTCCTTAGACATTTGGTAAATAAGTATATGTGGGGCAGCTGTGGCTGAGTGGTTAGAGTAGTCTTCCTCCAATTCGAGAGTTGGGGGTTCGATTCCACCAGCAGTCACATGCTGAACTGTCCCTGGGCAAGACACTGAACCCCTCATTGCCTCCGATGTGTGTCTCATCAGTGCATGAATGTGATAAAGCACTGATCATTCTTTGTATAGATCTAGTAGAGTGCTGTATGAATGAGTAAATGAGGACACAGATTGTTTTGTAAAGTTCTTTGAGTATCTTGATAAGATAGAAAGGCGCTATGTAAGAACAATCCATTTACCATTTACCATTCATTCAAGTGCAAAAGTGAGACTCAGGTTTTGTTCTTTTTCCTGCAGTGTGTTTACCGGGTACATTCGGAGAGCGTTGCATGCAGCGCTGCAGCTGTGCACAGGGTACGTCCTGCCACCACACTTCAGGAGAGTGTGGCTGCCCTCCTGGAGTTACTGGTATCGGCTGTGAGCAGGGTAAGGCCTGCAGCGCTGTTTCATTCAGCTCGGAATAAGAAGTAGCTTCCTTGGTGTTAGCAGCTTACTGGCGCATCATTTAGGCAATGCAATGAAAAGCAGAAAGCATCTCCGGCACATTGCACCTCTCTCTGTCAGCTTGTATCCCAGGAACATTCGGGAGAAACTGTAACCAGGTCTGCCAGTGTTCAGAGACGAACCAGCTCTGCCACCCGGTGTCTGGATCATGTTACTGCGCACCAGGTTTCCACGGCCACAGATGTGACCAAGGTATGACTTAACAGGCTGCAGGTCATATTTAAATGCTACAAGAAAGAAGTGAATTATAGCGTGACTAATCGGAGTTATTGTGATTTCAGTCTGTGAGGAAGGTCGATATGGTCCCAACTGTGAACGACAGTGTCAGTGTGAAAATGGAGGGAGGTGTGTTCCCTCGACTGGAGCCTGTGAATGTCCAGCGGGATTTATTGGGCCTCGCTGCAACACCTGTGAGCCTCTCTCAGACACACTGAACAAATAAATGACTGATTAAGAGAAGCAATAGGTGTGTGTGTGCTATGTGTGTGTCTCTGTGACAGCATGTCCAGCCGGGCGATACGGGATCAACTGCACCCAGGTGGTTCTGTGTGGAGATGGAGCCCAAAACGACCCGATCACAGGTCGATGTGTGTGCGTCCCAGGACGCAGAGGAGGTGACTGTGGACGAGGTGAGATGTTGCAAATGACACATTTCTGCTGAAAGTCAAAGAACCTAAAATATTTTGTATTTGCGTGTTTAGGAACACATTCATTTTCTTTGTGCATTTGCTTTGTTTTATCATCATGAATCACCTCAGTAACTGTCTTCTTCAGATTTAATTTATGAAATGTGTGTTTTTGCCCTCAGGCTGCCCCTCAGGCTGGTTTGGGTCAGATTGCAACCAACGTTGTAATTGCAGTAACGGAGGACTGTGCGACTCTGGCAGCGGTAATTGCACCTGTGGTCTGGGCTGGACTGGTGAACACTGCAACACAGGTGCAATATTACTGACAAAAGATTTGAAATCCATCGCAGAGTGCTGAGTCTAAATATTAAAAAGTTTGAAGTCTTTCCTTTGTAATGGGTTTGTTTTGTGCCAGAGTGTCCCGTGGGCTGGTTTGGTGCCAACTGTCAGCTGAGGTGTAGCTGTTGGAATAATGGCTCCTGTGACAGAGTGATGGGGACCTGTCAGTGCGGTCCGGGCTACTATGGACATCTGTGTGAACACGGTGAGACGCACCACACACATGGAAAGGGTGGAAGTGTCCCAAGGGAGAAACCAGTGTGTTTTGTCCGTTACAAATCCAGTTTAAGATCAGAAACAATTACTTGAACTCACGTCTGTGCCAATAAATCCGAACTTTAGAGCTCGTCGTAGAGTCACAGTGACGGTAAACAAAATGACACATCTGTAATGTCCTGCTGCTGTGAAAACCCATCACGCTCCGATTTTAACCAGGTGTTTGTTGTTTGGTGGCAACATGTCTTAGCTTTGCATAAATAAACTATTCTTAATTGAAGGTTGATCCTATTTGTGGCAGTATTATAGTCCTATTATTGAAAATCTTCTATGTAAAATATTAGATGTCAGAACAGATTTTAATTGTGCTGGATTTGTTTTTACTTTAAACTGAATTAAATGAGTTGAGTGATTAAAGTCTAATTCAGTGGTTCTCAAACTGGAGTCCCCGGACCTCTGGGGGTCTGCGAATCAGTGCTTGGGGTCCAAATTCTTTCTTTTTTTTTTTTTTTTACAAGCACGTAGATGATTAACAACCTGTTAAAATACACCAAAATGCAGGAAATCACATCTACTTATACAAGATTTTCTGGGGGAGGACCCCACACACACACACGCACTATTTGCATTCTGGCATCGATCATTTTACTTGGTTTGACTACTGCTGTTATAATTCTGTTCAGTTTTATGCAAAGAGTTTTCTGTAATAATTTGAAGAAGTTTCAATAAATTATTATTATGTTCATTGTGTGAATAGATAAAGTTTTAAAGTGGTTTTTGGTACTGTTAATTTTCTCAAAACTGTAATTTTTGGAAGTTTAAATATATTTTTTTGTTCATTAACTGCATCTTGAATGAAAAATACCCCATATTTAAAAGTATAAAAATTGTATTAGCATTTTAAGGAACAGGTCTTAAGTATTTATATTACACAAATATTTCCATTACATTAGACAAATTGAAGAAATGTATTTAATAAACATGAGGGTTATGCTGAAACTTTGCCTCCCATGTAAGGGGTCCCTGAACCCAAAAAGTTTGAGAACCCTTCGTCTAATTATTCAGTCTGAGAATTTACTTCTGGAAACAAAATCTCAATTTTTTTTTCATGTCCATATAACTTATATAGCTTATTTAAGCTATTCCCGTACAATAAGCTATATTCAGTCATTAAATAAAGGTTGAATTAATGAATCTAGCTTATTGTATGCTAATAGCTTATTGAGTTACGAGATAGTACACCTTTCCCACCATGATTAAAAAACAACATTGAGGGTCACTAGATTTCTTTGCAGACCACTTGAGTGTTTATGCTCAAACTCCATTTGTTTTAATAATTAATAAAATAGTGTCCTTTCCATCAGCCTGTCCTCCTGGTTTCCACGGCCCGCTGTGTCAGCTGCAGTGCGACTGTAAGAACGGCGCCTCCTGTCACCCTGCGTCGGGTCAGTGCATCTGTCCTCCTGGATATCATGGGACCCAATGCCACAGAGGTCAGTCACAACTGTTTATCCTCACGATGAAAGGATGGAGCAACAGGAGCATCTATATCTTGTCTTCAAAACTTTTGTCATCCGCTCAGTGTGTGAGCAGGGAAGGTATGGCGAGGCCTGCTCCAAGGTGTGTGACTGCGACGACGGCGCTCCGTGCGACTCTGTGACTGGGACGTGCCTCTGCCCCTCAGGGAAGACTGGACCCAAATGTGACATCGGTACTCTGCGCTCCTTTCTCAAACCTTAACAGCACACGTTAAAAAAAAAAATAAACGTACCCTTTGTTTTAAATACTGTTGTAACACCATATACTGAATTTAGTTCCGAGACCAAAATACAATATCTTTCCAGATTAGTGTATGCAAATAAATACATCAGTTTTGAATATTCTAACAATGTGTTGAAAGTAAACAACAATTTAATTATCATTATCATGAACAATTAATTCTTGTTTACTCGTAACAAACAAATTGCTTTTTAATCAAGGGGCTTTTCTTCTAAAAAAAAGCAAATTACCGGTAATTGATTCCATCATGGTTTTCAGACAACGTGGATATGGGATGTCCTGTCACTGATTGAAACTGAAAATGTCACAGTGTGAAGCAGCCCGGTGTCTTCAGCTCCTATAGCTTATATGTTTACAAATTTTCTGGATAAAGCTATTGGCAGTAATTAAATTCATCAAATCATTTATTTTTAATTAACAGTAAAGCAGACTTGCTATGTGATGTTATATATCACTGGAGATCATCATGAATTTGTCATTAATAGGATTTACACGTGAATTTATTCCTAAAGTTGTATTTCTGGCTAAAGGAAACTCATTTGGTGATTCTGTAAACGTCCGTGTGGTTTCCACAAATAATCAGTCGAGTGAGTAAAACGAAGCTAAGCTTTGATCAAGGCCAGAAAACTTGTTAAATCAAGCGGGTTGAGCTGGAGAAGGGTTGAACGCACCACCTGATGACGGTATCGACCGGCCTGCCGAGTTAAATGCCACCCGTGGTTTTGCATTGACCTGCTTGTGTGTGTTGTGTCAGACTGCAGAGCTGATCGTTACGGTCCGGACTGCGTGGAGGCCTGCGAATGTGAGAATGGGGCGCAGTGCGACCATCGCAGCGGCTGCTGTCTCTGCCCTCACAGCTGGATCGGAGCCTCCTGTCAGGAAGGTACAGTAGTGACTAACACACACACAATGCTAACCTCATGGCTACATTCAAATAAACAGCAGGTGAGTCAGAAGTCCTGCTGACTGTATGAAACAAGAGTAAATAAGTAGTAGAAGTGCTGACAGTGTTCACTTCCCATCTGTGAAGGGCAGATCTGCAGACGCTGCACCGTTCGCTGCTGCGGTTTCAGCTCTGATCGAATGTGAGCGTTTGCTGAGCTGGACTCATGGCTCTTTGTGTGCGTTTTTCCTCAGGGGGACCTCCATTCTACACCCACGGGAGCAACAGAGGGGACTCGCGATTCATTAAAACAGCTCCATCTAGATGGCAAAGTAAAACCGGCACAGACGAGCGAGTTTTTACTGAACAGACTGAAGTGAACGAAGGCGTATGACAGGAAACAGCAGCTGAAGGATTAACAGAAACAGACTCTCTGATGAGAACTGCAGCAGCAAAGATGGATCTTTATAATGAGGACGTTTCCTCATCCAGAAGGCGGCGTGGTTTCCTTTACTGCACTTTCAGTAATTGTGTTTATGGTAACTTTTTGCAGGTACTGTATATAAAACCCTTCGACATCTTGAAGACAAATCACTGAATCTGCTGCAGCCTCTGGCACCGAGGCCATTTAAGAAAATACATTTCACTACTTTGAAGTTACTTTTGAGTTTTCAACATGAAGAATGACCCTTGGTCGAATGGTGCGTTACTGTAAATATCAACTTCCTATTGCCTTAAAACTGGAGCATTAACTTTTAATACAAGATGATAGTATTCATGTGCACTTCAGTATTTTTATTGGAACCAATTTTGTGTATAGCTTGGTATTTATTAGGGATGCACAATATTATCGGTATGGTATCGGCCGATATTAGTGTTAAATATCGGACATCGGCCATTCCATCAAAATAACTCACCGATATAAAAGGTGCTGTTTCTGTATGACAACCCAGTGACAAGGATGCCTGCAGCGGCAGCACAATGTGATGATATCACGCGTGCCTACCTGATCTCGGCGGAAAGGAAAATTCAAAATGTCGGCGGTGCGGAAGTTTTTTTTCATTGAGAATATCGTATTCTAACTATTTTTGGACTACGTTGAGCCTCGCTACATCGTCCCCAGTCGGAGATATTTTTCGAATGTAGCCTTACCCGAGTTACAAACCGTCATTGAGAAGCTAATACCCAATAGCACTTGGGTGAGTTTTACCACAGACATCTGGACGTCGTGTTAGCATGATTAGTCTTACGGCACAATGGATAAACAAAAACTTTGAACTTAAAAAGTCTGTCCTTCATGCACAGGAGTGCAGAGGATCCCACACTGCAGCTCGGAACCTGGAACAAGACTCCACAAGTGAGACAGCATCACTGGTGTCTAATGCTAATAAATAATAATTAACACCTTTCATTTAATATAAGTTAAAGTGCTATGCATATCATATGGCTGTTACTGAATATATCACCAGCTCTTACACATTTTTTGTAGCAAATAAACCTAAATAAGAGGGCTATGTTCTGAAAATAAGAGGGCTATGTTCTGACAAAGGAAAGTACATAAAAATATAGGTATCGGTTATCGGCCAAATAAGTTTAACATATCGGTATATCGGCCAAAAATACAATATCGTGCATCTCTAGTATTTATATTTCATAATGGATGTTTACAGGTGAACACACCATGACTTTCAACTGACAAACCCTTTATTAAACAGAAATAAAAACAGACGCGTCAAGTTTACCATTCTTCTCTTTATCATTATTCCATTTTCATCAAAGATCGAAGCTGTACATCCTAAGTTTCAGATTCAAGCACAGTGCAGAGAGCGACGCCTGCAAAAACAAAATTCAAATGAAACGAGAAAAGGCAGAGGTGATCACAACCAGAAATATGTACAAATGTCAGAGTATATACAGAAGATACCAGGCTCTCCCTAAGTCCTCTTCAAGAGTGATTTTAGTACAACGCTGCACTCCAGCATTCATCGTAATGCATACACAGCACAAAAAATGCAGGTTTTTTTGTTGTCAGTCTTAAAGTGAATACATTACTGACAAGATAATGCAGCAAGATGAAAAAAAAATAACTCTCTCTATGGCATTAAAGGATAAAACATAAAAATATATTCTCTGTGTGACCTAAGCTCCACCCGTCTGTGAATGTTTTCCGTCAGAACAAGGAACATAATGAAACTAGGACCTCTTTAAAGCATTAATTCCCCTGCACACCTGAGGGCACACACACACACATAGACATCAGACATAAAGTTATTCTCTAAATGTGCGTTGACCTTTTCAAGAAGCAGGTCAGCACGCCCAGAAATAACATCGTAGAGCTCACAAAGACACACAATTTAAATCAGAGATGCTTTCTGAAACAGGCTTATTTGATATTTTTCAGCAGATGAGACTGATACCACTTTAAAATCAGGCTCAGGAATGTGTTAGACTAGTTTAGCGTAAAACCTGGGGACAGAGACCCCCAGAAAAAATCCCAATCTATCAAGCAGCATGACAAAAGATCACCTATTAATGTCTTTTTGTCTCTACAGAAGTGATCTTTTATTTACGGACAGGTGTCAGTGTGGTTTCATTCAGGCAGAAATATGGAGATGAAAAGTAAATGATTAAATCTTATATGAACAGATTAACATTAACTCTTAAAGTCTTTCCATACCAGAGCCAGCAGCCCTTCTTTTACGTTTAAATTAGTAAAATTACCAAAAAAAAAAGAGGGGAAATGTTTTTTTTTATTTTTTTATTTTGGTTGTGGAAAGATATTCCAGAGACAAACAAGAAATGGGGTTGAAGTGAGGTACCATATTTTTCAGACTATAAGGCACACTTAAAATCTTTTAATTTTCTCAAAAATTGACAGTGAGCCTTATAATCAGGTGCACCTTATTTATTAATTCTGGTTGTACTTACTGATCTCGAACCAATTTTATGTGGTTATTGTGAATGAGTTGAATAAAGTTTGACTTATTTGACCGTTTTGTTTCGCTTAATGCGCCTTATAGTCCGGAAAACACGGTAATCATATTATGGAAGGAATTTTATAACTACTCACAAAAAGAAGTAGGGTCTGCATTATTGTATGATCACATTAACAGGAGTTTCTGCCGTTTTCAGGAAACTAAGGTCAAGACTCTTCAGCTTCTTGCTCTGTTAGCAGAATCTGCATCTAAGTCGAGAAATGAAACAATCTGGTTACTTGATCCACGAGGTTTTAAAGTGTACCAGTTCTTACTGGGAGATCTGTGTTTTAAACATACAGCCTCTGATCCAACCTGTTGTGTTAAAAAACCCAAAACAGATAAACTCCAACACTTAATCATTTTTTTTGTGTGTTTAAAGGGAAAAGTCTCAGTGCCTTAATTATAATAATATATTGTTGTATCCTTTCAAGTGTACACTCCAGTCAGAGTGGTTTATTTTCAGATCTCTCTTCCTCGAGGTTTCGGTTCGGACTACTTTCTCCACATAAATATTGAAAACCCTAACATCCTTCAACAAGAATAATACTTGCATGAGACGAGCAGTCTGAAAGAGCTGCAGCTGGACTCTAGTGGAAAAAATAAGCACATAATGCAAATAACAGTCATAAGTAGATCCTGATGAGGGAACATAGTCATCTTATGTAATTTGTTGCCTTTTTAAGAATTGCAGCTTGAATTCACAATATGCGTCTGATTTTCCTGGTTGCATAATGATAATTAGAAGAAAACCAAACAACAGATCTGTCAAACTCAGTTTTTTAAATTATTTTTTTAATATGCTTTTTGCTTTCTGTTGAAACAAACAGGCTGCAATGTGTTAATGAGGGACCTTTAGAGATGCTGGCGGGTGAATCTTTCTGCTGCAGGACAGAGAACCTGGGTTCAGTCTCTGCTGGGCTAAACTCTCGGTCATATTTAGCAGAGATGTTAAAGCAGTATCAGTCTCACTTTACAAAAAAGCACATCTTCTGAAATGTCACACTATCATCTGAAGCCTCAGACTTCTCTACTCCCTGCAGATGAAAATATAAGACACAGGAACTTCACAGACAAATTAACTAAATGTTCTTATTCATGTTTTTTTTTTTTTTTTTACTTGTTTTGAGAAAACAGCTTCGGCTTGTGCCCGTTTCTTATTTTATTTTTTTGACTGACATACAAGACACTGCAAAACAGGGATCAGTTCTTACAGAAGGCTAAAAGGACAGGGACTAGTTTAGTTCTCAGTTTTTACACACGCAAACGCACACACAAATCACCAGCAGAGACCTTTAGTGACTTTGCATCTATTACAAATAAGTCAACCTGTAAACCTCACCCAAGCAAAATCAGCAAAGTAACGCTCACTTTGATTATCACTTAAACTTTGATTAAAAAGCTCCTACTTCTAAGTGATTTTACTAATATCACTGTTGTCTTGCACTTGTGTATTTTTTTTAATCATTTCTGCTAAGAATCAGCAGTTTTTCAGCTGTAAAGATTTATTATCTACACGTGTTCGTAAGCTGAGAAGCATCACCTTGCTTGTCCCGTAGATACTGCAGGCCGGGTGATGATGTCCATGCTGAGAGGCTGTTATCACATGCTATCCACTTGTGCTTTAATCACAGTAAGAGAGGCACCCCCAGAGGACAAAGGGCCGCATCGTAATGTCCGCAATAATACTGATATGTGTCAGATCATCTGTTGCTTTAAAACAAACCTTACAGATCCTAAAGCAGTTAGCCGTACTACGCATTCTGTATACAAAGGACATATTTGTTAACTATGATAACAGTTTGGTCAGGTAGATATACACGGAGTAAAGTCCATACCATAAATAGATAAGCTGGACAGCACATGCTTCAAGATGACTTCTATAATCTTGCAGAGAGTGAGAGTAAAACACTGGAGTGTGTCGGCAAAAAGAGATGATGATGAAGAAGATCTTTGGCTCGAGCCATGCTAAAAAGTCACTGGCCCTCCAGAGTTCACACATGAAAGAGAGACTGAAGACAACCACACACAACCTCCTGAACACACACCTGAAAACTACCTTCTCTGTTCCCTGAGCTGCTGCCACCTTCTGATTAACCGGACACTTATCCTTCCCAGTATGGGAGCAACAAACACCGCCTTTAACCCGTCAAAAGTTTACCGGGGACACGCGACCCTGCCTGCCAAAGAGGCAGCCGTCGAGCCGCCCACGCCGTCTACACCAAAAGCCCGGAGCACAGTTTGATGCAACTGTAAATAAGGCAAATACTTGAACAAAAATTTGATCAAGGAGAGGTTTTGGTGAGATGCGATCACTCCCTGTGCACACGAGTTGGGGAACACAGTGAAACAGACGACTGCGGCACCTGCTGTGGCAGCCCATCCCCTCCCAGAGTTCCTGACATCACAGCAGAAGATTCACGGGTCAGGATGGAGAAGCCTCTGCTGCTGCGTTCAGTGCAGCAGGAGCGCCGGAGCATTAGGCTGGACGAACGTACTGCCAGTGAAGGAAAACAGAGGGACGAGGAGAGGGACTGATCAAGAGGCGAAGCAATTCTATAGTGCAATGGATGTGAGATAAGACTATTTAATACCCATCCTCTCCCTTCCAACCCTCTAACATCTGTACTGACAGTACTAAAGTGCTGATTGTTGAAGCCCACAGAGGGGCCGATAACGTCGACAACACAAACTTTTCTTTCAGTGAAACCTTGACGGACTTTTACAGTACACGAGTGTTTGTAAACAGAACGTCTCGGGAACAAATGCATGGCTATGATACATGTGCAACAGCAGTTCTCATATATTCATACAGTATGAACTTCATCTCTTTTTTTTTTTTTTTAGTTGCATTCAGTTTTAGAAAAAGATAAAAAAAAAATTATAATAAAATAAAACTGAAAAATCTGGCTGCCAAGCAAGCATGTGCTTATTCTTTTCTTAAAAAGATAATTTTTTCCCCTAAATTTTCTCTATGATTTTAAAATACTTTCAGCTGAATAGAATGTGTAACTGATTTACGTATGAGCGCATATCCCTAATCTCTCTTACTCTTCTGTCTGTCGTTGCTAATCCCACCCCAGTCTTGTGGAGGTGACTGAATTTATTCCTTCTTTTCTCTTCTCTGTAACTCTAAATGAGGTGCCCTGCGTGGCCTCAGTGAGGCCAGACTCATGCGCCAGGGTCTCACTCAGTAAAAGCTCAAGCAAACAGAGGATCAGGCAAAGGTGGGGCGCTGCGGCTGCAGGCCAGGTTGCAGCCCTGCTGGGCGGGGCCGAGCCACGCGTTAGGAGCGGTAGTCCTTTTTACTGTACGGCTTGTTCCCCAGGATGCTGTCCACCTCGTGTGTGATGGATGACGACAACTTCGGTAGAACCTGTAAACACACACATGATAACACAGTTAACTTTTGTAGCCACTTTTGTTCAGCGTTCATTCAGGTAAAATTCTCTCAAACGACTGTAGTTTCACAATAAAACCTGTAGATGGCACTAGAGAAATAATGTAGATGTTTGCTGGATCTTGGTCATGAGTAAAAAAAAAAGCAACAAAAATTTGAGTTTTAAACAAAAAACACAGTTGAAACTTAACTTGAAGAATCAAGAAAAAAAAAAGGTTAAACAAAACAACTGGACTTCTATTCTAAAGCTGAAGACATTTTGCTTCTTATCTGGGAGGCTTTATCAATCCAAAAATGTCAAGAGTTTGTGGTGTTCCAAGCTTTATAGAACTGCATGAGAGGCCCGGTTGTACATGCAGGGGTTCTGTCCTTGGTCTTGGGTCTCTGTCTGAGGGTCCTGTTGGGTTTAAAATGTACTTGGATGTTGTGTTTGTAGAAAATCCTTGAGTTTTTAAGATACTCCTACAATAAATCATCTTTCAGCTTTTCCCTCTTCAGGGGTCTCCACAGCGAGTCAACCTCCCCCATCGGTTCTCTGCATCCTCTGTCCTCACTCCAGCTGCCTCCAACTACCTCTTTGACCTTCCTCGTTGTCTTTTTCCTGGCAGCTGCATTTCTAACATCCTTCTACCAGTATACCCACTGTCCCTCCTCTGGACATGTTCAAACCATCTCAGTCTGGTCTCTCTAACTTTATCTCCCAGTTGTTCAAGCTGTGCTGTACCTCTGATGATCTCATTCCTAATCTTATCCATCCTTGTCACGCCTAAGGAGAACCTCAACATCTTCATTTCCACCACTTCCAATTCTTTCTCCTGTCTTTTTGTCAGTGCCACTGTCTCCAGACCATACAACATAGCTGGTCTCACCACTGTCTTGTAGACTTTTCCTTTGACCTTTGCTGACACCTTTTTGTCACAAATCACTCCTGAAGCTTTTCTCCATCCACTCCATCCTGCCTGGACTCTCTTTCACCTCTTTACCACATTCCCAATTTTCCTGGACAGTGGACCCCACGTATTCGAAGTCCTTTTGTGACCTCTGCTCCTTGTAGCCTGATACTCCTGCAATAAATGGGATGAGAATATTTTTTGTGTTTGCTCTTCTCCCTGTTCTGTTTGTTCTATAGCATGTTTTTTTTTTTTTTATTCGTTTGCTGATCTGACAAAGCCCACTTAGGATATCCACAAGTTTGGACATTCTTTGATGTGATTCTGTTCCTTTTTCTTCACTTCTGTCTTTGTGGGGACGTGTTCGGCCCGGTGGTGTAAAGTTCTAATGACAGAAAGTTTGTGTTCCAGTGGCTGGTGAGAGTCAAACAGAATGTACTGATCTGTGCAAGTAGGTTTCCTGTAAATATCAATATTGAGGCTTCCATCTCATTCCATGTTCACCAAACAGTCCATAAAAGGCAGCTTGTTGTCGTTGGCATCCTCTCTGGTAAACTTGAAGTTGTCCACAGACTTGCTGTGTCTGCTGAACGCTTCTACTTCTTTCAGGTGGATTTTGACCCATGTGTCATCCACATATCTGAACCAGGGGCTCGGTGCTGTTCTCTTAAATAGTCCAGGGCTCTCTGTTCCATTTCCTCCATATAGAGATGGGCCACACTCTGTGACACTGGAGACCACATGGCACAGCCATGTCTGTAAAAGCTGTCATTGAACTTGAACTAAATACACATTGAACAAAAAGTTAGGCAAAACATACACTTCTTTTGGCTTCCTGAGAAAAAGAAAAAGAGATTGTGGTCTATTTTAGGGTGTGTGCTAATAAAGTCTGGCAGAAAAACAGACAAAATGCAGAGCTTAAGGAAATGTGAGCGTAACATTTTAAAAAGGAAATATCAAACGTACTTCAGTACGGAGGAACATGAATACACAAGAGCGTTACACAAAGCATCAGACTGAGCTGGAATGCTCTTTCCTGCAGGCCACACACAAGGAGTGTGTGAGGAGGGAACGTAAACCTCCACCAGTCTGAGAATCCCATTAAAGAGCGAGTCTTATCAGGAGAGGAGGAAGTGGTCGTGAGCTCGCCTCCAATCCCCACGGCAACGGGTACTCAGCTGACCCTATTAACATGGTACAGTAAAGCAGTCAAGCGTGCAGCAGCAAACTGGCCAAGAGGCCGAGCTGTACTCGGGAGTGAAGGCTGCTGCGACACGCTGAAAGGCAACGACACGAGGCCGGTTCGACCAGTCTTACTTTCACAAATTTACTTCCTTATGTGCTCTGCAGAAAAACCAACACGCTCACTGAGAGGTCTTACCTGAATTGCTCCTATGTTCTCCATCAGCTGGTCGGTGTTGGATGCCCCTAAAAGGACAGAGCTCACCCCCTCGTTCCGTAGGCACCATGCTGCAGGAGACCAAGTAAGCAGTGATGACAGCCCCACCATTAAACACACACAAACTCCAGCAACATTCATGATTCAGACACAATGCTGCACAATGTGACACACAATCATGTTCCCTTCATTTTTACATCAGAAATATAAATCCCCGTATAAACAAATTATCCCTATAAAACAAATCTACAGATATATAAATATATTAACTGTGCTAAGATACGGGGAGGCAACCAATCTAATCTAATCTTGTTCTGAGTGTCCTGCAAAAACCTCATTGGTCTGTAGATATTAAGGTGGTTGCTGCGTCTCGACTAAATAAAAGAAACTAACACAGAAACTAATAATGAAAAATGGTGGTGATGTTAATTTACATATAAAACCGGTTTAAAATAAAATTACAGAAGCGGCATTGATTTAAAACACAATAAATATGCATCAGGGTGCCAACACCACCAAGCTATTTCAGTACAGGAGTTATTTTTTGGACTTCAAGACTAAACTTTGCTGATGACATGCAAAAAGATTGAATTTTTGTGATCACTGAACATTTCAACACAAAAAAACCTAAAACATCCCCATCCCCAGTTCTAACTGTGAGCTGTATTACGCAACACAACTGAATTCTTCTGCAATTGAGGAAGATTTACTTGTAAGCAGATTAAAGGGAGTGAAAAATGTTGCTGTAAAAATAGTGGGATTATGATCCAAAATAAATCTACCAACAAATTAAAGAGAAGAGCTCAAAAAAAGGCAACACTTGAAGGTGTTTCGTCTTTTCAATTTGACATGAGTGGAGTGTTTCTAGCAGAACTATGAGACTCGCATCTATTAACTCACATCCTTAGTCTGAGTCCTGAATTTAGCACCCGCTTCAAGCCAAATCTGTCATTGTTACCTAGTTTTTATTCAATACCAGAGCGCCAGCGTAATCTAGATGACTGTGCAGTACATATAAATCTCTTGTGCTGCCTTTGGAAACGCTGAAAGGATTTATGACAATTGGGATACTTCAGGCTGTCCACTAACAGGCTGTGAAACTTAATTTATGTCACTGTTTCACTGTGAGTTTGAAAGATCTGATGCGATCTGCTCTGAGAGCTCCCAAGTTTTTTCACTGCCGCTCTAACATCTGGTGTTTCAGCAGCCCTCACAACTGCGTCTTGTTGAACGTTCTTTGTTGCTCTGCAGTGAATCGATAACTGTCACCTCCTGGATTTATAATTCTACTTTGATGCTGACTGACACTTGAAGCTGCTAAATGCATGCGAATGCCAAAAGAGAAGCTCTGATCTGTGTACGAACGTATTATCGGAGCATGTTTTTGTGCCGTGTGTTGATGTTTGTGTCGCCTGTCTTTGTGGTTTTACAGGAACGAGTCAGATCTAGACTTAGAGGAGACGCTGCATTCTTCGTTTACGATCTTTGCCTGTTTCGTTGTCTAAAGTCTCTGATGACTTTCACTCCAGTGCGATTACAACACAGACAGGTGACAGCTGTGAGAGCGCCACTGACCCCGGCCTGTCCGAGGCAGAGGGACGGACAGACAGACAGAAAGAGAGAGAGCAGCAGAATGTATCTGCGTACCGATGGCGAGTTGGGGCAGAGTGCAGCCCAGCCGCTCCGCGATTGCCTGCAGCTCTTTCAACTTCGCCTGCTGACGCCGGCCCTCCTCGCTCAAGATCTTGTCCTTCAACCACTGGTAGCCCTGTCGAAAACACAGCACACCTGCTTAAAAACACCGCCCTGCTCACACCGCTGAGCCGCAGCTCCCGTGTCACCAGGGCCTGTTTTTAAACACGTGACTCTGTCTTCAGCTGTCAGCGCCTCAGCCAGAGAAAACAAAGCTCAAACTGCACTAGTTCAAAATGCTACATATTAATTTTTTTTACATCAAAATTACAAAGTATGCAGAATAAAATCAGATGATTAAAGTATTTCTGCTCAGCTGAGCCAAAAAGTGAAGCATCGAGGATGCTGTGTTACACATCAGGACCAGAAGGAATAAACATCCACAAGCAACACTGAGCCAAACTGCAAGCAGGAGCTGAACAACACCAACACAAAGGAACAGTCACAACATGAACCAGCGAACGTCTAGCTGACACACAATCCACAGACACACAACATGCCACTTCACCACAGTGGAACGCTACACTGCACAAGTTTAAAGGTTAGTTTGTGGACTGACTTGGTTTTCAAGTCTGGATGCTCATTTCAATAGAATGGTTTATATCAACATATCACATCTGTTCCTTTGCAGCAAATTTTTGCTGTCATTTTCTGAACTTTCTTAAATATCTCCTTTCTTCATTAATATTCTAAAACAAAAAAATTGTATTAAAATGCTCTGAGTAAAGCAATTATTTTACACTTGAATAGCCTGAACTAAGACTCATTCAGTGGTAGATTTTTTATTTTTTTTGACAATACGATAAATGTGTATTGGACTTGGAGTTTCAATAACTGCCTTAAAAGTTCAACTAAATAATTTATTAAAATAAACATGTTTTGGTAGTGTCAAAGCTAAGCTTGTAAATGTGCTGTTATTCTGTGTGTTTGTGTTGTACTGTATAGTGCGCGTGCAATAAAAACAACAACGTTGAGCAGCTCTGGTTGTGAAGAGGTGCACAGTGCGAGGCGACAACACAGCACTGAAAACACACAGGCACACAGTTTACGGTGCGCAAAGAGTTACAGAACCTGAAAGAGACAAAAACACAATGAAACTAACAACCAGCAGGGAAACACAACAGTGGATGTGGCACAGACGACCAGAGGGGAATGTGGTAATGGTGATCTGCAGGGCGGGGGGTGTCTACCTTTAGAGATGCCCGCGAGTACGGAGGCACCCTGCCGTCGTATTTCCCTGAGATGATCCCGCAGGCCAACGGAGACCATGTCATAGCTCCCACACCTGACAAAAGAAAAAAAATGTAACTAGAGAAATTGCATTTCCTGTGAAAACGCAGTGTGAATGCTTATTACTGAAGACTTTGCAGAAAAACTGCTAATTAGATAAGAACTTGCTAAATTGTAGCTGAAATGGAAGAACAGGCCTAAATTAGCAAAAAAAAAAAAAAAAAAAAAAAGGCAGAAAGAACACATTTGCTGAATTAGGATTAAATAAGCAGAAATTAGCACAAAATTAGAAAATTAGCTAAAAAGCTAAAATTAGCACAAAAAAAAGCTGAAAAGTAGCTGAAAAGGCAAAAAAGCTTAAACAACCAGAAAGAAGCAGAAAGAGCTGAAATTAGCTAAAAATGTGGAATTAGCTGAAAAAGCTAAAATTAGCATAAAAAAGCGAAATAGTATCTGAAATAGCAGACAATGCTGAAATGAGCATAACAATCTGAAATTAGCAGAAAGAAGTTAATTAGATTGAAAGTAGCAGAAATTACCACAACATTTTGAATTTATCTGAAAACAGATGAAATTAGCTAAAAATGCTAAAAAGGTAACTAAAAATGTACAAGTTTAAATTAGCAGAAGAAAACAGAAAGTACATGTTTTCTCAATTAGGCTGAAAAAAGCAGAAATGATCACGAAAAAGTAGAAATTATATGAAAAAAGCCGAAATTAGCAAAAAAATAAAATAATAATAATAAAAAAAAACTGCTGAAAAGAACCAGTAGCTAAAAAGGCAGAAATAAGTTTATATTACCAGAAGGAAGTAGAAAGAGCAAATTTTTGCTGAATTAGGCTGAAAAAAGTTGAAATGAGTGCAAAAAAATGTGGAATTAGCCTAAAAAAACTAAAATTAGCATAAAACGGCTAAATTGTAACTGAAATAGCAGAAAAAGCTTAAATTAGCAGAAATACGCTGAAAAGAGCATAACAAGCTGAAATTAACAGAAAGAAGTTGAGAAGAAGCACAAACATGTTGTAATTAGCAGAAAGAAGCTGAAAGAAGCACAAAACAGCTGAAGAAAACCCAGCTGAAATTAGCAGAAAGAAGTTTACGTTTGCACAAGGAAGCTGAAAGAAGCTGAACCAGAACAAAATGTGAAAGGAGCAGTAAAAGGTTGTAAACAGATCTAAAGATTTGAAGGATGTAAAATGAGCTCAATTCATTCTGTATGAGGAACAAAGTGGCAGAAAAGGCTAAATATTTTAAAAAGCTAAAGCTGCACCAAAACCAAAAGTCATAGCACCTCTCTCCTGAACAAGCTGAATGTTTTGATTTATGATTTGTTGAACTAGCACAAAAATTATGGAACGAGAAAGATGCTGAAAAACGTACGGAAGAAAAATGGATCATAACAGTGTGAATGCTTCATAAACATTCACACTATTATTGTAAAAAGCACAAGTGCTGCACTTTCTGAGAGTTGAGTCTCCTTCAGGGTACTGAGAAGAGAGCACGTAATTTTAGCCAAACGGCTTGAAAATGGACCAGAGTGACTCTATCTTTAACAAAACGACTAGTCTGTGCGTCCTTAACGTGTGTATGGTAGAAGAATAAAAACCAAATGCAGTTAAAGAATTAAAGGCTGTCCACACAGAAACTTGTTTGTGAATAAGTTTTTTTTAATAGTTTCAGTCTCGTGTCTACACAAAAACTGTGAGAGCCCCAAAACGGTGGGAACGTTTCAGCTGAGAGGCTGTGTGATTTAAAGAATGGCGTTACGCTAAAGAGATGCAGAGATATTCACACCGACAGTGCATGTTGACTTCTCTGAAAACTGACATTAAAAATATGCAGTATAAAATGGACAGTAACTATAAAACTGCAATCATGACTCAGTGCTAATTTGTTGACTTTTTTGGTGGGTTGTAAATGGCTGTAAAATTTTGTATATATATAAACAATAATAGTGCTGTTGATATCAACATATTATTGGAATTAAAACATATGAAGCACAAAATACCTGTTTTTTAATATTCAATAATTCCGTAACAGTGTATTTGGACATGTATGTCCTCTGGCATCCATCAGGGGGTGGTGCAGCTCCCTCCACATCCCTACTTCCTATAATCTTGGTTTATTTTTAAAACAGGTTCCAGAGTAAACATTTTTTGTTTTAACGATAATGTCACAACACTACCTCGAACCTAACCTATGAGCCAAAAGTGTCCTCTTCTTCTTCTTGTGTTTACATTTTGCATTTAGCGTGTTTTATGCTCATATGTTCATGCTGGCATCGTTACTACAACGTTCCTTTGATTGGTTTTGATGTTTCCATACTTTTCTTGAAACAGTGCTGTGTTTACGAGGATATTTCTTTCGAAAAATGTTTAGGAAAAATTGCATTTCCATGTGGACAAGACCTAAGCAAGGCTGTAAGACAGCTGCACATCTGAAAGCACCTACAGATGTGCTTACCAGCTAAAGGCAAACCTTATTAATCTAAAGCCACAACCACATCGAGACTCACCTATCTTATGAAAGAGCTCAGGCAGCTGCACCTCCACCTTCTCCCTCTGGAACATGTGGTACTCAGCCTGCTCACAGATGGGGGGGATCTGGTTGAACTGCCGTGCAACCGAGTATGCTTCCTGAAGGAAAACAATCACACGTATACACTAATATAAAAAAATATATACTTGGCTTTGTTTTTTAAAAGGACACAACTGGACTTTTTGTTTTCTTAAACTCTCACTAGAGACGATCTGACTTTATTTTTTAGAAAGTCGTCGCCACAAACATGTTTTCTCACCATTATTTCCATCGGGCTCCATCGGGATGTTCCCCAGTACATGGCCATGCCTTGATTTATCACATGGGTCATAGCTCGAACAGTTTCTGCAAAACCACATATAAACATGCTAAAAACAGCATCAGCACTGCTCTGACCCGGTTGTTTTCTCCAACAAGCTACTGTATGATGCAATAAGCCTACATATCTGCTTGTTCTTTGATCTTACAAAACACACATTTGTCATAATTTACACTCCAAACTGCCTGGACAGTTTAGGGGGGGGAGAGAGGGAGGATCTGATTATGTTAATGAGAAAGCTGGGAATCCTCATGAGCATGACATCTGATCCTAACAAGGCCCGTTTGAATGACATTCCTGTTTAATTTACCAGAATGTGTCTTCTTTTTTTTTTAATCTACACTGTGCTACATGAAAAATAAGTCAAGTGAAATGAATAAGAGATGACAACCATACGTACACCAGTTCAAATCTTTAATCGAACACAAAGTGTGTTGACACGCTGGATGACGGATTATGTATTTTAAGCACTGTGGGTTAAAAATATGTCACCCCCCCTTCTTGTAATATGCAGGGTGAATGTTAACGAGATTCATCTCAAGACATATAGAGTCTACACATTCATCATATTTTATTTGAAGATAGGAATTGCATTATGCAGCCATAGATGTGGCGTTAAGTACAATCTCACATCACTGGACTCTTAATTTCCGTTTTCATTGGTTGACACTTTGTTGCGTGTGGCTGCAGAGCAACACAAGAAACAGGTTAGATAACGATCGGGCGTCTCAGAGAAGGGCGGGAGCACAGGAGTGTAATAAAACCAGATTGCATCAACCCTCCATAATCCTCCGTCCATCTATTAACTTTACTGATGCTCTGCTTTGAACAAATCAACGCTTTTTATTATCGAGTGGGCGCTCGGCTTTAGAGGGGTTTTATAAAGTTGCGGTTTGCCTCCTTTTTACCCTGTTTACCCCTATGGCTACTGCCAAAATAAAATATACCAGATGGTTTCAGCCACTGTACGTTTGAAGACAGGCCCTCAAAGCTGTCCATGTGGACTGAGTGCAGTCGTTAAAGGGCAGATGGGAAAAAAATATACTTTTTTCCACTAAACACCACTGGCTACTTCTCCCAAACAAGACAGTGAAGTATTGTAAAAGAGCCCAAAGCATCAAACTGAAGGCAGAAAAAAAAAAAAAACGGACCTCCGATTCAACTTTAACCTGCAGAGGAACTTAACTGCAGGAGCAGATGGATACTGAGTCCATCTAAGCCCACACACGGTTAATACTCTGCCATTTAAAGGTCTCCAGCATCAGTATTTATCATCATTCTGACTGTGGAGGTGGAAGCATCCTGACCACATGCAGCATTTAAAAATAGACGGTTCAGTTACAAGAGCTGTGTATATCTAAGTCTTCACACTGCAGTAGTCATAGAGACAAACAGGAGGCTTAAAAAAAAGACAAAACAAGAAAAACATTTAAAAGCAAAAAAAGAAAGAGGACTTGCCTTCCATAGGTGTGTTGGGGTCGGGTCTGTTAGCGAAAACCACATCCACGTAGTCTAACTGCAGTCTTTCTAGAGAAGCCTTTAAACCTGAAAATAAGCCCCTCTGTTACTGACAGCGAACCTCGGTTGTGACAGGTACAATATTAAAGTGCTTAATCGAAATGAATGCAAATCTTCTCGGTTTATCTGGGATTTTGCCCCCACTGTTGTCTTGGCAACTTCAATAATCTCAAGCGAAGGCAGATTATTGAGTTGTTGCTTTGATTTCCTCAACCCGAAAACACTAATTAGAATGTAAGTTATTAATTCAGCATCAGCATTTAATCCAGCGACTGTGATGCTTACCTTCTATAATGTGTTTTCGGGATAACCCTCTTTCAGTCTCCGCTCTAAAACAAAACAAAACGCAGACTTTGTGTTATTTAAAAAAAAAAAAAAAAAGAGTATATATTTAAAATACAGCTGGACCTGCCCCTCAATGCTGACAATACTTCATCATCCTTTTAGAAACATGAGAGGATGTTTTCAAATTCACTGAAAGAACCTGACAACAGTTCAGTTTCAATGATACATGATCCTGTTACCAGGGGCATCAGCGTCTGACAGTGTCAGGAAATATTACACAGGAAGATAAGTTTTCATTTGGCAACTAGACAAAACTTACTTTCCACCCCAAAAGATCTTCGTTGTTATCACCAGACTTGAGCGTCTAAATAATGGAGAACGACAGCACATCTGTTAGAACACCTGCCAAACAAACTTGCTGAATTACAGACAAAAGCAGTGATGCAGACGTTGGTGATTTTGCAACTCTCTAAGATGTAAAAGACACAATAAGATTACGTGTTTCTATCCGTTTCTGTTCGACAACGCTCATGGATTATATGTACAAGTGCAAGTGTGTAACTCGATCACAAATAACTAACAAATGTCAATCCAGGATCAGCAAGGCAGATGACAGCACAAGAAGTTCATCCATTATTCAGCATCTTTGAGTAGGGACACTCGGGTAAGAAGCCACATTAATCTTGTGTGTTGTGAGCTGGAACCTTACTGCTCCAGTTCACAACACACACAATACACAACTTCCTGATGGGTCAGAGAAGTGAGATGATACAAGATTAGGCAGGTCGGTGTAGGAAGGAAATTAAAACCCACCAAACTTGATTAAAGTGTGCCTCATACCTCCATCCTTTCTTCTTTATGATGTTTCCCAGCACCACCTCTGCCCTGTGAAACGGAGAAAAACGAAGATTTAGTTAGGATCATACAGGAATGGTGCGAGCGTTTACACAGTCTGGGAATGGATTTCTGAATTAAAGGAAGCAATGTGGCTCTGCACATGTAGGCCTGTCACGATAACACATTTTGCTGGGCGATTAATTGTCTCAGAAATTATTGCAATAAACAACAATATTGTTTGAAATTTGACAATAATTTGTAATTATTGTCAAATTTAAGTAGAAATGTTGCTTCATTTTTGTGTGTAGTGCCTTTTATGACCATTAGATGGCAGTATAAGACAGTCTGAACCGAAGGATGGATAGTGGGGGAGCGAGCAGCGTGTCTCTATAAGAAAAATGGGAGTTAAAACGGATTTTAAAGAGAAAGGAAGGGGTCAGTGAAGAGCACCAGAGTTGAACCTTTTATCATCCAGTGTCTAGTAGAAAAAGAGAGACACGAGAAATGATAAAGCCGATAAATGAAAACGAGGTAGATAATTTTAATTTATCATGCGATTAATTGATTTATTGTTTATTGCAACAGGCCTATGCACACGCACATAGTGGAGCTTTTAGGCTGAAGAGCACGGTTTGTGTGAGTTAGCTCCCAGGTCAGACTCAGCGGGGCCTGAGCCACCACAGTGTGGCTCATTAGCAGCTGAAGTGGTGCTAATGAGTGACGTTACGTTCAACATGGGGCTCATTAGGGATGGGCACACAGCTGTCAGTAGGACGCCTCTGTGGTTCCCTCACTCTGACAAATAATGGGATGCCTCCTGATAGGACAGTTGTATATAGATCTGTCTACATTCACGTCTGCAGTCGCGTGACTGTGCAAGGTTATATATAGCTCATGCTGTGCCACCATTTTGAGGGACCAAAATAATTAAAACTATTCAAGGTTTAGCAGACAAAAATGCCTAAATGGTGCCATCTACTCCTGTGAAAACAGACTACTGAAGATGAAGAGGGTAAATAAATACATCATTTTTACATATCTACAAGCAAAAGGGCCTTCTCCTACTCTGCTCCTGTATCCTGGAACACCTTGCAAAAAGATCTGAAGCTCTCAACCTTGACTTAAGGGACTTAAATAACTGCTAAGTTCATGGCAAAATCCAATGCAGACATGTTCCTATTTTTAGTATTTAACATTGTTTTATAATGTATCTGTTTTTGTTTCTTATATATATATATATATATAATTTCTTCCATTTACTTTTCATTTTATATGCTTTTTTACGATTGTCTACTGTTGTCATCTGTGTTCTTCTTTTAAAAAAGGTCTCTCTTGTAAATGAGTCCTCGGGGCTCAGTGAGACTAACCTGTGTAAATAAATGCTGAACTGAATTGAATATTTCCATCTGTCTAAAAGTAGCCAGAGAGGAGGAAACAGGATTTGAACCCTGTTACTACAGCTGCATCAGGCTTGGTCCTCAGGACAATGTAAAATACAGTATGTGTGCAAAAACTCTTCTACTGTCCATCCAGTAAGCAGGTATTAACCAACCTCTGGGCATATTATTGCCAACAAGGCCAAGGTCGACCAGGGTACAGTTTCTAATCAGCTCTAACAGTTCTATTATAATAGACGGTCAATCACCAAAAACTTTTATATAATTCTTTACTGTTAAATATAAATATATCTAAACTGGTCATTCATCGGGGATGTTTTTCTATATTGTGGCTGGAAGTCTGTATTGAGCCACAAAACTCCAATTTTTCCACAAACTTGGTCTTAACTTTGCTCGTTAGGATCAAAGTAATCAAAGGTCATGGGTGGAGATAATTGTTTATGATTAATAAATACAGTAAATTATTGACATAGAACTTGTAGAGTGTCCAATCATATTTAGCTCCTTAAACCAGCCACCACCTGGTCAGTGGGGGTTGGATTTTGTTGACAGACCTATAAGGCTTTTGGACTTTAAGGCAAAAATCTATTTTTATTTTTTGAGTGATGAAAACAGCAAGCTGCTGTACACAGTGCTTTGTTTCCATGTCTCAAAGCTGTGTTGACAGCTGCATAGATCATAATTCACTGGAGCTACAAGACAGTGCACTGCTGGCAATGAGTTTGTGTCAATCCCAGGGAGCGGTGAGAAAGTCGGACAGGTTGGATCAGATGGTCAGCGCAGAATGCTAGATATGAAAAGTGTTTTCAGTCACAAAGAAACAAGTAGATGGTGTTTAGTTATTCTAAATGAGATCCAAACAAACCTGGTGTTTCAAATCATTCTTGTACAATTGCACCTTTGCAGCCTGATATCAACAGGGCTTTTAATTTGATCTGCCATATCAGTAAAAGGTTAGGGGAATAGTGTCAGACTGACCAATTATGACTACACATAATTAAACAGAATTTAATCCAAGTCCATGAGCACTTTGCTAATAAAATCATCCTCCTAATGGTGCTGAAATGACTCCCTCTGACTTAACGAGGTCATCGTGTAATCTTTGTTTTAGCAAGAGCACAGAGAGAGCAAAATTAAAAATGTGTAATAAAAGCAAAGATTTTACCCCTCAAACTTTATTTTACATATAGTAATTTATGTATGAATCTATTTTACTAAGTTTGTGTACAATCAGTTTACATTAAATTATTTCAGTTTTATCAAAGTTCATGCTCAATAATCCAGGTAGAAAATCCAACAAAGTTCAGTCAGGTCATCTGAATGGTTTCTTTCTTTTTTGTTGTTGTTGAGACGTTTCGTCCTTCATCTAAAGAACTTCATCAATCTGAGGAGCCCTTTGATGAAACGTCTCAACAAACTCAAGAAACCATCCAGATGACCTGACTGAACTTCGTTGGGATTTTCTACCTGGATTATTGAGCATGAACTTTGATGTTTTGATGACCTGCATGAACTTCGTTGGGATTTTCTAGCTGGATTATTGTGCATGAACTTTGATGTTTTGAATCACTTTGGCTATGGCTGCCTCAGAGGAGTTGATGGGGGAGAAGGCCCAGAATCCATCGTATCACCAACAAACTGGTTGGTCCACTATGTGTGTGTTTTTTATGGGACTCAGTTTGATAGTGCTACTTGGATTTATGAAGTCCTTTGGATGAAGGATAAAATGTTTCAACAACAAAAAGAAAAAGTCCAGATGACCTGACTGAACTTTGTTGGGTATTTCAGTTTTAATCTTTGTTTTAAATGTATCAAGTATTTTTTAAGTAATATAT